AAATTGTAGAATGTGTAGAATGGTAATAGGGAAACTATTTTACTTTATATTTACACCTAAACGAAAATAGTACCATGTTTTAAAATTTTTTATTAGGTTTTAAGAGCAAAGAAACCCTTTAAGCTCAAACTTTTAAAATTGGGAAGTAACACTTTTAAAAATAAACTTTTTTAAAGAATTTTCCAATGGTTTTTTCTTTGGCTTTAGGGAATATGTAATAGAATAAGAGAGTTGAAACAATGTGTACTTTTAGCGACTTTTAGTTAGCAAATACTATACTGTAGACTCATAAGATTTCTTATTTACCGTCCCTAATTTCTGTCAGTGTTTGGGGGCAGCTGCTTGCAGCGTCCTATTTAATTTCACATTTCACATACATATTTTTATTATGCTCTTGCCGCTTGTCAGATTTTGCAGCGTCGCATGCTGCGGATGCCTCGTCGGATGGCTATTTTAATTTGTGGTAAACTCGAATTATATTTCGCATTGCGAAGTGGCCGTTGGCCGAGTTAATTACTGCAGCCCCGCAATTATCGAAAGGTAACCGCTCCACTTATCGAGTGCACGGCAACGGCTTTTGTTTTGATCTCCAATCGTTGGCTTTCTGGTTTTTTTTCTTTATGTTCCTGCCCCGACTGCGGCTGATCCAGCTGATTAGTCTAATCTAATCTTGCACGCTGCAACACCTACGACTAAAAAATAGTCGAAAACGGTTTAATCAGCTCATTATCGATCCTAATTCCCAGCTGCGTGGGTTTGAGTCCCCGAATCGAGTGGAATATGCTAATTCGCTTAAGCGATCCGATCTCTTACACATGTTGCTCGCAGATAAGCTAAGGAGGCGTAGATAATATGCCCGACCCGAGACTTTTATGTTTATTTAATTAGCGCATTCATTCCGAGTCTCCTCGATTCGACTCGAATTATGAATTCACAGCCCGCATGGGAATGGGTCAGTAGGATGTTACACATCGGACTATATATAGAATGCCATATGTCATTCAAAGTAATTATGTGGGAATGTTTTATTTTCAATATTTATGCAAATAAATTCTGATCGAATTAAATGCTTAATTAACATTGTACGTTTTACAAAAATTTCAATTTGGGTAGTCAACAATTGTGTTAGATAACTTATATGTGTTATTTTTACTTTATTAAGTTATCAATTATTTTTTTTGATATTTTAAAAATCATTTCTAGTTATCTTAAACGCTTTTAGTTTAAGCTAAAGCTGTAAACTTTAAGACAATACTTTACGTTAAGAAATATTTCTATTTAAAAGTAAAGTAAAGAAATTGAAGTCAAAGCTGTTTAGCTATACCTTTTGTATGTATGTCAGTTTTCTCTTAAATGAATTATACAAGATCAATAATTTAAAAGTTAGCCCGTCATAAGTACTAGAAACTCTCTGCTGCTCTGTGATGGCAAATCCCTGAACTCGCCTTGCGTGTGAGGTGTGCCCCGTGAAGTGATTCGTGCTAAGTTGTTGCTGCTTCTGCGGCTGCTGTTCAGCTACCAATTGCAGCAGCCCCACCTCAGAGTCCCGGGATCCCGATCTCGAGTGGCAGCCATAAGCAGAGATTCAGGCATCTCCACATCCATGCCTACACATATAGTATACCCAGCTAACTCTCCGAGATGTCGATAAGGATCAATGTTTAGCTGGGCTACGTTTTAATATTGTCTTGGCCCGGCACACGTTGCCATGATTTGGGGCGGGCCTAAGGAAACTATGGAAAAGGGGGGATTGGAAATATTGAAGTCCCCAAGCTGGATTTCTTACTTACAGCAAGTTCAGTAGTCGATCTCCGTCTCTGTTCCACCCTCTTGTAAGTTCAGTTTCAGTTTGCTTCGCATTCGTGATGAGTCATCAGTTGTATGGATAATGTCCACTTTATATAGCTTACCCGATTCCCCACTCTTCGCCCTTTCTACATTCTTTCAGTGTTTCTCCTTTGGTGTTTCGTTTTCCTTTGGGTGGCTTTCAGTGTCTTGACTTTTGCTTGTCAATGCGCGACGTCTTTGATAACTAATTGCCACGGCGCCAAATGTTTCTCATTTGGTCTTCCTTTTTTATTTTTTGGGGCCTTTTCTGTGGGTTCCGTGTCGCCTTGGTAAAGTATAATAAAAGTCACATCGTTACCGTTTTGTCGGCACTTATGAGGTCGCAGGTTCCGAAACCCCTCATCCCCTAATGATTTATATTCAAAATTGTAGCGCATGGTTCATAAAAAGTTCGAAGAACTTCACATGCAACAGTACAGAAAAAAGGGAACGATCAATTAAGCCAAAAAGGTAATTAGAATTGAACAGCCGAAAGTCGGTACAACATACTGGTACTGCTTGGCAATTTTTAAGTTTTAACTCCATAAAGAAATCTAGTAAAAAGGTTTAAAGTTAAATTAATAATTGTTAAGTTTTTTTATTTTGATTAAAATTGTTGCTGCTTTCCCTTTTATATCAAAAGGATGAGGTATCAAAACACGCCTTGTTTCACTCGTGCCCTCATAAATAAATAGTGACAAATCCGCTTGGAATGCGACGAGAGGTTAATAAAATCATCGTAAACGTATATCTATTATAATGGTAAGTGTTTTTGTCATCCTATATTTCGATAAGGTGATTTCGAATATAATCTGATAAATTTGCTTAAAAAACTCGCATTTATTGATGAGATTATCTCATCGCTGATCCCACTTCAACTGCTCTACAAATATATGCATATGTAACTGGATTTTTGGATTCATTCAAATTCGAACAGTCTTATGTTGCTGCTTCTTCTCCCTTCTACCCTTCATCCTCAATTCCAGCAGAAAGTTCGTTGCCTAAGTCTTTTGTTTGTCCCAATGAATTTATAATTTCCGATTGATTCTCACCGTCGGGTATTGCTATATCCCAAACAAATGTTAGGCTGTGATTTTATGGCCAATTTCATGAGCATTTATAAATATATTTATATATACATACATCAGGGCCAAACGGACTTCGTTTCCAATTTAAATTGAATTAAGATTTCTGCGAATTTTTATTAGCATTTACCTTTTTTTGCGGTTACTACTCATGAAAAATTGCAAACATTTTCATTTTCCATTTTCGTTTCAATTTTTGTTGTTGCCAAGCTTAATCAAAGTGGCGCTAATTAGTTTAAGTCGTTTGGATAATTGCAAATTAAACGCAAACTTAATTGCGCCGACACACGAAACACACACACATGTGCACCACAGCAATTACATATCCAGCAGATACAAAATAAAAGTAAACAACTGAAAAAAACTAAAGCTGCATTTTGTCTCGCAAGGCAACAACATAATATATGGAGAAGGAAGGAAAAAACGGCCCTGGTTTCCTCATGTTGTTGTTGCTGCTGCTGACTTGCGGCTCGTGGAATTAATAATAAAGTTTGCGTTGAAATTAAATTAAATTAAATTAAAACCAAACAAAGAAACACTTTATTTGAAAGTTTCTGTACAAATTTGCTAACAAATTAATTGCAGTTACTAAAATAGAATAGACATGTTAGACAAATAGCTAGCGTGCACTAAGAGATAAATTTAATTATTGCTATAATTGTAAGCTAGGCCCCTAGAGAAATAAAACAATAAACACTTAATAAATGTTTATACATACTAAAATTAATTTTGTTATTTCATGAGTTGTGTGTAATTTCAAATAATCTTGATAAAATTAATGTGAGTTATTAATTGTTTGAATAATCATTTTTGGATTATATAAATTAAAGAACTTTGTGTCAATTCCATTTTCTAAACTAAGCAAACATCATATCAAAATGCAGGCGTAGTAATTTAGATTCAGTCTTTCAACGTCAGCGTTAATTAGTCGCCTTAATTAAAGATTATTAATATGGTTGTTGGAGCACCACCTTTGCCTAACAATATATATTTATGCACTCCCCTTGACTTGATTATTATGCAAATTAATTGTGTGGATCTTGCTTCTTGGCTTCTCGTTTGCTTTCTGCATTTGACGAACTCATTGAAATTCATAAAACGTTACCAGCCTCTGAAGGGAGTTGAAAAACATTATGCAGTCCCGTCGGTTAAACATGATTATCACAGTTCCACCTCAACGCAATTACCAGGCCATCTGAGGCGGAGTCCATATCCATGTTATTTTTCCGCTTCGAGTTTTGGGTCGAAAAAAAATGAGCGGCTGACCAAAAATCTGGTAATCGAATTAGGCAACTTCGTGTTTTATAAATGTTATCATAAATATTCCATTTTATTAATTACCGCGCATAATTCACCAACAAAAGCGAAGAGAGACAGAGATTTCGTTAGTGTCCGCCTCTCTCTTTAAATTTGTTCGTCTCTGAACGGCGCGTCTCATTAGCATACTTAATTTGTTTCTAATTTATTCATAAATTTCTATTTGTTCCACCCTCTCACAGAAGATGACTGCCTGGTTTTTGTTTTTGATCATACCAACTCCTTTCTTCTCCAGTCCAGTCCGCTGCCCCATCAGTTGCTGATTTATGGCAAGAGCACTGATTAATGGCAGCTTCAACTCCGGATCTGAGTTGAAATCGTACCGAGCTCCCAAGACTGGCTGTGATTCAGTTTCTGGGTTGGCTTAAGCTTCTCATTCTCCTTCTCCTTCTCTTCACCTGAGTAGGTGTTGTTACGCACATTATACAGGGGCTTTTGTTCATTAGACCTGGGCCTATGGTTAATTTGTGGAAATTGGGATTGTTTGGATAGTTTGATTAACAACCGAAATTTTAAGTCCTTCAGGTATGGTTTCTTCATTTTGTTACACTACATTTTTTGATTAAACATTTTGGCTACGTTCACAAAAAACAAAATTTCACTTTATATTTAAAGCTTTTTTTTTTGGTCTGATTGACTTTTCATGATTATTTCTGATCTTGCATCTAAAACAATACGCAAATATGTAACGAATGTCAGAGTAGAGTCAAGAAAAAGACAAAAATTAATTATTTAAGGTCTAGCGATGATAAAAAAACTCAAATTTTGTGTTTTACTTGTTGATTTATTAAAAATTCCGTGTTAAATACATAAAATATAATAACTTATTGGCTTAAGACTACGGTGAACGGGCAATGTTTTTGCACTTGGGTTTGGGATATTATTCCTGACCATCGTATTATCCAACGTATCCTTGAAAATCTCCACCTCCACCTCCAGCTAGCTGACCACATCGTTTCCATGTCCATTTTGCCGCAGCAGTTCCAGCTTCAGTTCGTGCTCCCTGGCCTTCAGACGCAGGGCGGCAATGGAGGAAGTGCGTCTGTCCTCGGGGGGCGTTGCAGCTCTGGGCGGGGGAGGCGGGGGGCTGATGCGAGGGGGGTGGTGGGGGCAGCTGTCGCTGGGGCGAGTGTGACAGGGTCAAGGCCACCGGGGAAGTCTGAGTGGGCGATAGACAGGAGGGCGCCTGGTGTTGGGTCAAGGCAATTCCAACCAGCTGTTGGGGTGAAAGCTGAGCTGGCTGCACTCCAACTGGCATTTGGGGAGGGGCCTGCGGAGGGGGAGGTGGATGGGCGGCCGGATGCTGTTGATGCTGGGGGGCGTGACAGGAGACGGGCGAAGTGGGCGGCGAGGCAAGCAGGTGGTTGGGCGAATGCAAATCGGGTGATCCTACCAGTAGAGCGGCTGGTTTTCCCAGAGGCGGTCCCCGCGGCACCGCCGTCATGTTCGCCAGCAGGGATTGAAAGGAGCTCGATGGGGAGTACATGCCCGCCATTCCGTGGGGCAACATGTGTGGAGGAGCCCTGAATGAATTGAGTAAAGAGAATGTATAGTTAAAACCTACTTTAATAAATAACTTATTATACAAGTGTGAATATATTGTGCATCTGTGTTACATAAATGTAACCTTTATTATTATTTATTTTTTTTAATGGCACGATTCGTATTAGGCACATAGAAATATATTGAAAAAGTATTATAATTTTAGTCAGAAGTTTCCAGCGCAGTGAAGGAGACATTTTTTCGCTCAAAAATAATTATAATTTTCTGATAAATATAATAAAGCTCGAAAATAAATAATTGTTATTGAACCAAATATAAATAAAATCCAACATATATTTCAATATAGCTTATTACTACTCTGGTTGGAATCGAATATAAATGCTACTAGTTTGGCCCGAATTTCTGGGGACAACTCACCTCTGGAATTGGTTGAAGTAGCCCGACGGAATCATGGGGGCGGCGGAGAGGTGTGGGTAGCGGAAGGCGGCCAGGTTGGCGGCGTGTTGGGCGTCGAAGGGCTTGCGCAGCTGGAAGCCCAGGTGGGTGAAGGGATTGGGTGGCAGGGCGGCCCCCACCACCGTCTGCATGGTGGCGGCGCCGCTGGGCAGGTAGGGATTATACGGATGCGATTGGGGGCCGACCTTCTCCTGCTTGCGCCACTTGGCCCGCCGGTTCTGGAACCAGACCTGCAAAAAGGTTGTCGGGAATGGGGATCATGAGTTATGTGCTGGTGGCAGGCTACTGTATCCTGCATCTACTATGATGCACACTACTACACTCGCAAAAGCATCCAATTAATGGGCGTTGTTATTGAAAACGCCCCTTTAATTAGTTTTTAACATAACAATCTGAATACGGAGTACGTCGCAGGACGCCGGCTACTAATTGCACTCGGAATGGGAGCCGGAAAAGGAGTCGCAGTCGAAATAATGTTGTTTAGCATGAGCAGTAATTAAAAAGAAGCAGCGAATTCACGGCCATAAACTGACCGGGCATGTAATGACTGGCACTAAAACAGAATTAAATGAATTTCTCCATCCAGCTGTCTGTCCGTCTAGCCCCTTCCCTTCCCGTCCCGTTTCGTCTCGTCTCGTCTCTTCTCGATTTCATTAGTAGCGACATGCTCCATTATTTTTCAATTTTCAACATTGTTGGCTGCACGTGGGCCACGCGAATTCACCGCAAATCTGAGCAGCTTGGAGCCCTGAATTCTCCTCTTTGTGAAATGCTTACCTGAATGCGCGCCTCGGTTAATCCAATTTTCATCGCCAGCTCCTCTCTGCAAGAAGATGAAAGAGAAACCTCGGTTAGCTAGGAAAAACTACAATGATTTAGGGCAGTTAATCAATTGAAATGGTCAGACATCAACTACGTACTCTATACGATTTTCAAAATGTTTGGCTAAGAGAATGTAGATAACCATTTGAAATTATACCAAAATGTATGTACAAATCCCCCGCTGCCTACTCATATCGTTGACCTAAACTCACCTCGCCGAGCCATTCATTCCAGCCACTTAGAAGCTAATTGAAGCTTATACTGAAATCAAAGGTGATTTGATTTATTTGCTTAATTAATTGCTGAGCATTAAAATGAACCCGCAGCCTAATGAATTGAAAATTACCAGCGACACGGCAAAAAAGTTGATCTAATTGCGGCTGCGATCGACTTTGAGAGCTTACTTTTTTATTTCGGTTTTTTGTTTGGGTTTGAGCTTCGTGCGGTCTCAATTAGCGTTCTCTGACTGGCTTTTAATTTATGGCAGTTACTGTGGCTGTCTTTCAACCACATTGCTGCATGCTAATTGCAAACTTTACAGTTTCCTAGGGCAAAGAATCCAAGATTGTGTTATTGTGGATATCTCAGAGGGAGTTCCATAAACAGCTGCTCCAAATAAGATCGATCGATCCACTCAGGGGGGTCGCCTCGTTATGAGCATTATTATTATTATCACCCGAACGTTTTCCACATTCGTGTCGTAAAACCGAGAATTGACTTTCAAGCCTTTGTCGCGCCTCGATGAGCGATTTATGCAAATTTCTCTTCTTCTGGGGCACTCATTTTGTTGGGCTTTAAGGCTCTTATCGCGTCTCGTCATAAGTTACTCACCTCGTAAACACGTCGGGATAATGGGTCCGCGAGAAGGCCTTCTCCAGCTCCTCGAGCTGAAAGCTGGTGAAGGTTGTGCGATAACGCCGCTGCTTCCGCTTCGGGGCGTACTCGTCCGCCTCGCAGTCGCTGTTCCCGTCCGAAATGGGGCTGTTGGTGCCGCCACTGGCTCCACTTGCTCCACTTGCTCCACTGGGCGCCACTCCGCCGGTAACCGACATCGAAACCGTTAGCGCTGCGCCGGCGGAGGCGGCCGACGATCCGGGGGCACGGTCCACCAGCCCTACGGCATCCGGGTGCGCTAGCTTGGCTTCTTGCGGTAGTTCCTCCAGCTTGATCTCCTCCGATATGCCCATAATCCAGGAGGGCGATCTGATCAATGCTCGACGGCAGCGGCTGCACAGGGAGAAATTAAAATCATATTAGCAAAATTAACTTAAAGTGCTAGCTACCAAAAGTGTATAAATAAATAGAAACTAGTCTTTTTTTGAGTAAAGAGAAATATTTTTTGTTTAAAAATCATCTCGGAGAGAAAATGTTTTTCTAATGTATGTATTTGTACGTAGAAAATCCCAGGTCTTCTTTTGTTGTTTTCTAATTTTTAGCAATATATTTAGAGATAGTATCAGTTTGCTATCTCATAATGACTGTTTCAATTTAATTAACGACAACGATCTTCTTAAGTATATTTAATTCTTCATAAATATTTACAGTTAGTTATTAAACTGAGCTTTTGCAATTAAATCGGATTTTTTTCAATTACACCCATAATATAAATTCAAATGTTATACTACTTTTTTTGCTATGTGATAAAAAGAGGTATATATATCTAGTTAGTCGCGCATTAGAAGTTCGTAATTCAATAAACGCTAAACGTGCAATTATCGTGCACTTTATTATGCCAATTTCCGTAATTTGCCATCTAGCCATGACCAAGTCATCGGTTAGATCGGGACTCGCCGCTCGAGGTTAGCTGCGGTTACACTGGCCAACTGGGCATCATGGTTAAGGGTCTGGGGAGTGGCAGAGCTCGTTGGAGAGGGAGTGCTAGAATAACCCTGAGAAAGGGTCAATGTAGCTAGACCATTTTTGAAATGGCAGACAAATTTACTATCGTTTTTTTATTACGTGTGCTCAAAACTTTTCTAAATTGTATATAGCCAAAGGCGGAAAGTAAACGTACTGAATACTAAATATATTTATACAGTAATGAATATTCGTAGACAATCTTCATAATAATAAAACGAACTATAACCATTTGTAAATCTTTAAAAGTACATAATAGTAAATTCATAAAGAATGTATTTTAATTTAACAAAATGCTCGGGGACAGATCTTATTTTATTGACATTTAAAACAAGATATCTTTTAATCTACTGGCGGAAAAACACGTTAAAACTTTATCTTCTGACCATTTTCCTCTTGTATTACCAACATTAAAAATTGATTTATTACTTTCTATTCCAGAAGCTCCAGGAGCCTTTCTTAACTTTAAGTGCCAAAATTTCGCCTAGCGGAGTGCTTTTCCTATGGGTTAGTTAGTCGATTGACTCCTCTGCGGTCTGGAAGCGTGCCTCATGCTCATGGCTTCCACTTTATTTTCAGATTCATCTTCGGGTTGAGGTTTCCGCTGCTGCTGCTGCTGCTGCTGGCAAGTTGCAGCTGCTGACGAACTTGCCTCAATGCAAATCGATGACCACAGCATGGGGCTGATCTCTTCCATCAACACGTCTTTCATCGAGCACGGACAATGAGTTGGGTTTATTTTGCTCTCCGGCAACAGCAGCAGAAGCTTTCATGTGCAGATCGTTTGGAATTTTAATTAAATTGGGCGGCAACTTCATTTTCATCATCATCAACTCAACGACTGCACTGCGCCCAGGCAGTTTCGAGAGCCGTGTCCAAGTGGCTTCTATCAGATCAAATTAATATCAGGTGCCAGTTTGGCCCCAAGTGTTTCTTCTACCAACTGCATTCGAAGTTTGGCTTTGGTTACTGCATGATTTGCTAATTAATATACGACATCGTTTAATGACAACTAAATGGTTAGAGCTGGTGTGTAACCTTCCCAATACTCCGCTGCCATCTCCGAGCTTCAGAAGTCAGGGGCACATCTCCTCCAGACCCTGTCCCATACCCAAAACTTGGCTTGATTGATGGCCGCCGCTTCTGTTGACATCCCTACATATATCAAAATTGTCCAAATACCTTGTTAAATGGCAAATTAGTGTGGCGGTGATTGATTTAGTTGCATTCTTGCGCGGAATGAAGTTGCAACCGGTAAACAATCGAAGCCAGACAAGAGAAAGAAATAGTACACTTGAAAATATTTATTGGAATTTGGTCCTTAAAACATAAATAATTTTATCAAGAAATGGGACAAGTCCATTGATAGTAATCATGATTATTTAACAATTTAATGACTTCAAAACAATTGGATGTTGTGGAGAAGTATATATTAATTAGTTTTTACATGTTTAAAAATCTTTTTGCAAGTGGACAACAACTTGTTCATGAGCTTTGCCAATGTCAGCAAGGTTCAGCCTCAGTGGCATCTTTCTTCACCTCGCTGAAGCATTCCCCGCATGCATCTTTGCAGCAAGTAAAACTCCAGTTCATAACTCATTTCTGGGCTTGATCATAACTTCGGTTATGAGTTTGGCTGTCAGTTTCCAATGTTGTCAACGAATTCCGCGCATTGACAGCTGACAAACTTAATTTGCGGACTGCAAATTATTAAATTAGTTGTACTTATTATGCTACCACTACCAGTTCCCCCCTGAGCTGAGTTCATTATAAGACCCGCACTGATTAATTCATTGCATGCCGAATGCGAATGCGAATGCGAATGGGAACCGTAGAGCAGTTTAGAGCTATGTGGGGAATGTGTGCCGTTCGGCTTTGTTGTAGTGCCGCCTTATAATTGTATCCGCGTTACGACTTTATTAAAGCCTATGGCCCAGGCAATCGGAGCAGGAGGAATCCTCCGTTGATTGACGTTTCGTTGGGTAATTAAAAGGCAGAGACTTCGCTAGAAACTGTCAGCTTTTTGACGTCTGCCTACCGATTTGGCCTGGTCGCATTGGCATGGCTTCATTTACTTTTAGTCAGTGGCTGGCCAGCAACTAATCAAGTTAACGCTGAACCTGCTCGGTCCATATCCAGATACCCGGTACTCCAGGAAGCCTGGGATATCCATATGGATGGTTGGGGATGTGCGGATCTGCGGATCTGCAGACCTGCGGAATTGCGGACTTCTGGCGGGGGCGATTTCGTGGCTAACATTTTGACACAACTTCTCGGCGTCTCTGGGCCTCTTAGTTCCTGCATGCTAATCAGGCCAAGCGCCAGTCCAACTCCCAGACCAAGTTCCATTTCAAATCTCAGTCAAAGTCTGGGCTTTTGAGTTGCAGTCTGTGTCCGAGTCTGGCAACTTGTTTGCGGTTGCTTGTTCCGTTTAGAGATAAGCTCCATTAGTGTCTGGGGAAATATTTAAGAGCAACATTGTTGGCTGTGTGGGTTTCGTAGCCCAGCCTAGTCATAAAGGCACTGACAAAAACTCGAAGAGCATTTTAATTTGTGCAGCTTAGCAGAGTACTTTAAAGAACCTTAAAAGTAAACTAACTATGAAAACACTGAGAAAAAAATTATTACCAAATATACATTTTTTTAAAATTTGTATCTACCAATAAGTCAATGAAAGATTTTTAAATTTTAAAATAATCTTTAAGATTTTAAAATATTGTTATACAAAATTGTACTTGAGCTCAAATTGTTCTTATATTTTTATACATGTAACTTTTAAACAAGCAATTCTTTCAGTGCAGACATATTGAAATTTAAGAAGTTTATTCGTAATGTAAGGCGGTAGCTTAATTCGGCTGTATACTGTATATTGTCCTTGGCCTACTGTCCGTTTTTCTTTTAAAATAGTTACAATGTAGCCCATTTGAACCAAACACGACATTCTCTCAGTGCAGACATATGGAAAATAAAGAAATTAATTCGTAATGCGAAACAAGTGTACGGCGGTGGTTCGATTCGGATGTCCACTGTCCGCTGTCTTTGGCCCACTGTCCGCTGTCCACTGTCCACTGTCCGCTGTCCGCTGTCCGCCGTCCGTTGTCGTCACTTCTGTCATTTCGATAAGCATCAATGTTTCTGCCCTGCCTGGCCGTTCTTGCCACAACTCAACTCGGCCCGAACTCTTCGCCGCAGAAGACTCGTCTTCAGCTGGCTCCTTCATGTTTGGTGTCGTTTTTATGGTTGCACTTTTGTGTTTTTAGCTCCTCCAGCTCCCGATCTTCCCGATCCGAGCCTCGATTCTTGGTGTCTGCGGACTTTTGTGCTGGCATATTTCATTAAAAGACGGTCCGAAGGGACGGCATCAGGTAGAACAGCAAACAGAAGCTCTTTTCTGGCATTTTGTAGTGGGTCTCCGTTTGCGTCTCGGGTCTCCAGTCCGCAGTCCACAGTTTTCAGACTCCAGTTTCCAGTCAGCCCCCAGTCTGGGCAGTATCTGGGCTGCTTATTTATGGGTTTACATTAGGCTAAACCACTTTAGTCACACTTTGATGATCGGCATTGTAATTTCGCCCCCGGGGCCCACGATAATGGCAAGCATTTTGGGTGGCTTAACTTTTGGCCCCGGGCGAAAGCTCACTGGCTGTCCACATCCACCGATATCAATGTGTGGTCTCTCTGAGAAGTTGATGGATTGGCCAGAGAGACCTTCTCGTGAGCTCTTGCCTAATAGTTTCGGTTCGATAAGGTCAATTATTAATTTTCGACCAGATCTTGTGAGTCACCCAGAAATCCATAAAAAAACAGATATCACACGCAGCTGAGAGGGCTTATCCCATTTCAAGCTGCACCTGAGCCCTCCGTTGGATATTGGTGGTTCGGTGTTCGCTGTTCGTTGTTCGTTGTTCACCTTTCAGTTGTTCGGTTGTTTGTTTCTTGGCGCCGTCTTTTGGCCCAGGTGCGATAAGGCAGCATTCTTTTTGTTGGCCAGGCGCCGTCATCACCGTCTCTGTCTCTGTCTCTCCTGTTCTGGGGTGTACGTTATGGACCTCTAATGCACACACTCCCAATTATAATTAGTTTATTCATATCCTGTGTCGAAGCTGCTGCCTCATTTGTTGTTACTTTGCTGCAATCTTAATTCAATTTACTGGCTATCAGCCGGAGGTGTAACGAATTGAAAAGTACCCTGACATAAGAGGGTGCCAGGTGTAAATATAGGTAGCTGCTATTACCCTCTAATAAATTAGATCGTAAAATTGTTGAAATGGCAAAATTAGGTTTTCTACATTTGGTTTACGATGTTAAATAAATAAATACTTTACTTTGCCAAAAAGTACAATATTATTAAATTTATTGACAATCTAAGAGCTTTAAATATTAAAAAATTATATTTATGAAAATACATAAAAAATTTATTAAAAGGTAAAAAAATCCAAACCCTTTTTTCCAAGAATATTCATAAAATTGTTAAAAGATTAGATTACCTGTAATAATATTAATATTTTTTAGTAAAATTTTAAATGTATGGAGCTTTTTGATGGGCAATCATTTTATCAATGATATTTAACAAACCGGCTGGTTATTAAACTCCTTCTAATCACTTGGGTACTTTGTAGAACTGATACATTACCATGGATTTGCATTAAAATTTGATTGGCTTAAGTCGTAAATGGGTTGCAAGGGCATTTGGGCTTCGGTGCCAGCAAATCTTCGGCAGTGGCCACCGTAATGGAGAAGATTGCTGGGACGGTAGCCCTAAGGTAGTCGCAGGTTCAACTTGTGACTCAGAGTCAGAGTCAGAGACTCAAGACCCAGACAGAAGACCATGATGTTGTTGATGGTGAATGGAGAATGGTGATGCTGTAGCTACAAGCTTAGCCCATGTTGGTGATGTTGATGCGGGGCCAATTACTCATAAAATGCATGTTAAGAACAGCAGAAGTCGAAGTGAGGAGGAATTAAGTGGATCGGGGATACGGGAGGATCTGGGGATTGGACAACTGTTGCTCGACGCCATCTCCATCTGCCCTTTGTCATTGTCTTGTGTGGCTTGATAAGCGAATCCGAGGCAGACGGTGGGCAATTTGAGGACGACGATGTTGAGTTCTATGTTTGCATGTTCCATTTAGTGGGGGGTTGGGGCCAAGAACTAATGAAGCACATCTCAATGGGCTCTGGCGCCATCTTCCCGCTGGAGCAGATTCATCTCCGGGGGTGTGTCGCCATCAAGCAGCAACCCTTCAAAAGACAGCGCCCCAAATTGGGAGCTGTCAAACAATCGAAATCAAATCAGAGTTCGTGTTCAGATAGCTGCCAAAAATTCGGTTGTATATCTACGAGATACCAAACCAATATCTAGAGTATCGGCAAACAACTGTTTTAACTGCCGTAATTGAATTGAAATGCTAGTGCCGTGGAGAACATATTTTAATTTTGGACGGCCCCAAAAAACAAGTCAATTTTATCGCTCACTGAGAATCTTTCGGGCATTATCTATTGTGCAAGATGCTATCTCAGAGATACAAGAACACTGCGTGCTATTTGCGTCACAAATTCGTTTAAAAACTGTGTTGACAAGTCACATGCGTTATAAGTATTAATTAAATCAGTCGGCCAAGTGCCCGATTATCACCAGGAAGGAGAACTTTAGGACACCTCGGTGGGTTCCCGGGTTTCTTCGGGTTTATCTGGACCCACATATCTGTCTATATATATGTGTTAGTTTCACTATAAGCTGGAGGCCCTCGTCCACGTCAAGAAGTCAAGTGGTCAGTGGCTTTTGACACGATTATCGGCGAGTGATAGCTGTGCCCAGTTAATTTCATTTATTCAGTAGATACACACGGGTACAAGTAGAAGACTGTACCCCCTCCGAAAATTAAACAAAAACAGCTAGACAAAACGTGATTTATTGGCACTGACTGCGCCGCTGACAATTTGTACTCTTTAATGGTGTTTAATTAAACCCAATCAGCGATAAACTCATCGAGCTATCAGCATGAAGCAAAGGCAAAGTCTTCTGCCCCCCAAAATTGAGTTAATCAAATTCTTATTCTACAGCGATGATATTGGCTTGATATTTGTCTGATTTGATATGTCCAGGTGGGGAATTAATCAAATTTAACGATATTTAATTTTCGTTATTTATTTTTGTTTTTAGCCACTCCTGACTGATATGGATGATTAGACAGGGGAATTATGAAATATGAAGTTTGCTTGTACTTGTAATATTTGTCAATCATGCTGAGAAGTTGGTTAGGCTCAAGGAGTGATTTTAGATTTATGGGGGTGGGGGCGTCGGAAGTTATCTTGAATGGGGCACAGAAGGAAAGAGTTAGGGGGATTTGAAAAAACACAAAATAATGAGGTAAGCCGTATCAGGTCTATGAAAAATATTCGCCTAATCAATTTATGGAAATCAACTATGAGGGTCACATTGGTTTCGCGAAAGGGATTGTAAATTTTGAAACCAACCCGATTAGAAATCTCTACATATTTCTTTAATGTTTAATTTGTTTTTCATATTTTGATCAAGAAGATGTTTTTATTTTGTGTATTTGTATTAAGCTGGTTGTTTTATCTTTATAATTACAATTTTTAAATAATGTAAAAATGTCAAAAAAATATGATAACTAAATATAAAATTTATTTTAATATGACGATACATATATGCGAAACAAAATAATCTTCTATTGCATAGAAGGCTACAAAAATTTTAAAGTAGTATTTAAATTTTATCTATTCAAATCTAAAATTTTATACTTTTACGATACGATAACCCATAAAATGTATTTAATAGTTCTGGATTATCAAATGGGTACTATGCAAAACGATCACCGTTGGTGTAATAACACATTGGTCAGTTCGTTTTTTACGTCAACAGACTTACCTTTTTTATCGTGATTGTTTGTAGATCTATCTATGGATTGTATAGCCGTAATTCTTGGTGACTTCTTGAGAGTTGGTATTATCTTCTGGTGTGTTTAGATTTGCTGTTTTAATGTCCACCGGCCTTATCAAGCTTTTTCCTTTTACACCAACCGGAACACTTGCCGACGGACTTTTGGCCACTCCGTCAATCAACCAGAAATGAAAGGTCTTAACTGTCCAATCGGATCGCGGTAAAATGGGGTGCTATTATGGGTGTTCCTTTTATTTACAGGTTGCCGACACCCTGACAAATTTTCACGCACTCTTCTTCGGTAATAACGATATTTTACAAGCTCGTCACTACTCGAGTCGAAACGAAACGAATCGAATCGAAACCGAAAGAACCGAACGCGACGATGATGACCGGGCTGTTTCAAAGCCGCCAGCAAACTGAACTAAGGTGAAAACTCAGGTGGGTCTGAGACAACCGGTTGGAGTTGTTGTTTTCCGATGTTGCGAGAGTGGTTTTCTGGCCTTCAAGTGTTTGCTTTTTTTTCGTAGTGCTGAAGAGCGAGAGGGAGCTATGCGATCGGAGCGTGTCGATCGATCGTCGCAGGTGTCGCAGGTGAGACGGCAGGTGGGCAGGAGGTGGACTCCGCCCCGTTCCGGGCATCCGACCTATGGGAATGCAGCGTTCAGCGGAGCGAAATAATGGCGGAGCTGCTCTCTACCCCTCTCTGTCGCTCCGCATCGCCCTCTCTCTCGCTCTCCTGCTCCCTCCGATTGGGGAGTAATTGAATAAGCCCCGCACAAAGTGCAATAAATTTGATTAGCCAAATGGAAATTTATTTGCCCCCCAGCTCGACGCGTTTCCTCCGGTTGCCATAGACGCAGTTGTTGCGGCTCATAAATTAAATAATTTAGCCAAGACATATGGGTAAAAGGGTTTTGTGGATTGGAAATGGAGTTGGGGACTTAGACCCCGGCACATAGACCGTTTTGGTAGTGTTAAGGGCCTCGTTAATGACTTTGTTGGCTTTATTGGATGATTGCTGGACTGTAGAATTGTTTACCTTTCGGAGTTGGGGTGTCAAGTCAGGAAATTCAATGACCCACGGAAAGGGCAAATAAGAGAGCTAAGCAGGTGACTCAATATGAGTTTAGAATGGAATATTGTTATGATCGTTAGGTCTTTCTTATCACAGCATTTCACCTTTATATACCAACCTAGAAACGTAAAACTATACCTTGAGAAAAGTTTTGAATTATTTAAAGATATTTTCTTTGATTGATGGTACAATATGTATATGTATATTGTATATATATATATATTGTATATTATATGTATATAATTTATTAAAAAAAACCATATATTATCGGCCAATATTACCATCCTGGTAGTTTTATATAATTTCCGTTCATACGAACATTTATATTTATTATATAAAAACAACCTATCGAATTTGATTTTGACCAAAAAAATATTACTGTGATAAGTGAGTTATTTGACGCTTTAGATGCATTTTAATTACTTTTTCACAGTTTTAGTCTTCTTAGAAAAACCTACCCTCTGTTGTTTTTACCATACCACCAATATCACCACTTTTACAACTTTTGGATCAGAATAATTAAGTGTAATTAATCCAATGAAAACTGTTTCATTGCTCAATCTGAAAAAAAAACGGATCCCAGTCCTGGTCTTGCCATTTCCAAGTAGATTCCGTTCCTTGATAACTACTTCATTAGGCCTGATATAAACGGACCTTATACATCGACAGCTCCATTCCAGCGGCATTTTGCACTGGAAGCTGGCCCCCGCTCCAAACTCCATGCGCAGCCCAATTTGCTCGTTTCGCAAGGCAATAAATATAGTGTTAATGGCAATTGCATACAAATAGTTTGGTGTTGCCATTATATGGCCATATTATCCCATTGTCAGGTCTTAACAAGAAGTAAACAATGCGACGCTCTCCGAGTTCCATTCGAAATCGGAGCAGTGAGGGATAGGAATCGGAATCGGAGTTGCAGTTGGATCGAGTCCGCTGCACTGCAGCCAATTTCACGCTTCATTTACACGCGAAATGCAAACAAAAGACCGGCGACCAGCGACCAGCGACCGTCGACTGTCGACCGTCGAGGAGTGACCATTTGGCCGACGGGTTCAATGGACAGCAAACCCAGACCGGGATCGGGATCGGGAAAACTGAGTACCGAGTACCGGTACCATGGTATCTCTCGTCCCCATGTGGCCGTGTCAATCAGCTCGTCGCGCAAGGTGTTCACTTGTTATACCCAGTACTTTTGAAACCAGGGCATGTTGTATATATAGAACACTCAAAAACACCTACAAACTAAAAATAAGCTAAAAATTAGAAAAAGGACCTATAATTATAAATGTACCCGAAAAAAACTAAAATGTCCTCAAATAAAGTTTATTTTTCCTAAAATTAGGTCATTTTTCAAAAATTTAATTCTAATTTCAAAGATAAGAAAATAAGAGATGTAAGGAAAAGTAAAGTATACTAGATTAGCTTTTATATCCTATAATGATAAAGGGTTAGCAGGTATTCTATAGTCGAACAAAAACAGCGGCGGCATTCTTCTCCGTTTTGGTCCCGATTAGGGTCCACTCTAGGCTGTCCTTATTCCAGCTCCGATCGCTCCACAGCGAATGCGAGACAGAAAAAGAGGCTCAAAGTGAGAGAGTCGCGCATGCGCGCACGTCCTAATGTAATTATTATCTCAACAATTGAATTTCCGGTCCCGACTTCGACTCCGACTCCGAGTCCGAGCTGTGGGTCTGCATCCACTCCTGCACATGGGACAGATGTCGCGCAAAACGTTACAAATGTGCACTTAATTGCGCAATTAAATAATTTTATTTCTGCTCCGCGTTTATTTATTTTTTCTTCTTCTACTTTCCCCCCCTTAAGTCATTCTCTCGTTTTTCTTCTGGCCGAGACGATATCAAACAAATTGCAGCCAAGTGGCCAAGTCCATTTGGCCCGTTCCTATCGCCTGTCTTAGGTGTCTTATTCATTATGCAGCTTAGATAGAAGCATTTACCAGTTGCCATTTGCTATTTGCCAGTTTTATGAAGGAATTCGATCTGAGGGGCTGTCCATTAGGCTGGGTTCTCTCTCTCAAGATGGTATGGTTTATTCTTAATGGTATTGGTTTTAAATAATCTTGTTTTGGAAATAGATTTTAACAGTTTATTTTAAAAATTAAAAGTAAATTAGGTTGGGTTCTCTCTCTCTCTGAATAATAATAATTTAAAAATGAGACTTTCTCTCTTAAATTTCCTTATTTTGGAAATTGATTTCAACAATAACAACAATATCGAGATAGATTTACATTCGTTTTCACCCCGCTCTTCATTTAAAGTATGAACAATTTGTGTGCTTATTATTTATGAAACTTACACAAAAAAGTTACCCAATTACAACCATTACTTCGGCCTGGATTTCCCTCACCACATCACCCAGCCATCAAAACATCGAGTCAGTGAAAATGGTGTAGCAAACGAAACGCAACTGTAAACGATACCAAATTATATTTAATTACGTGCGATTAGTTAGGGTTACTGGAGTCGCGCGATGAAATGCCAGCGATAAGGCCCCGCCCCGCCCCCGAATGTCACCTGGCCCATAAATAGTACACCCAACTAACTATCCGACCATTCTCAGAGCCCGGCATTAATTCAATTACAAATGGCTGCGGTTCACTCAGCGAGCAGGGCGTGTGACATAATCAGGCAACAAAACTGTCGCTAGATGGCAGCTATATGTACACAATACTGACTGCTAATGGCTGAGTACCAGGTATAGCTGGTATTTCGGCTGGCATTTCCTTGGCCCTCCCCCAGATCATTATTTGGTAATTTGATACGACGATTTGTCTTGCTTTCGTTGCTTTCGGCGACATTGCATTTTCACTCAATTGTCGTGTAGGCCTGAATTTGACTTGGGCGGAAGCGCGTTATTAACTGGTTTATGCAACCCAAAATTGCCAGATTTCCAACCAGCGATAAGGCCCCTCTGCTTGGCTGATTATGTATATACACGTACATGTAAACATTCCTGGCCAATAAGCAGGCTGCAATTAAAATGAAAGCGAAGTAATTTCATTTGTTCGTAAATCTAATAGTGGAAACTCTCTCATGGTCTCTGGCAAAATAAAAATGTGAAATGCTTTGGTAATTAGTGCGTGTACCGACTGTGGTCTTAATTGCCTCCATCCCACAACAATTTCCCACCAGGTTTTCGTTTTATTTGAAACGTTTTGTTGAATTTGGCCAAAACAAAAAATGCATGCTTTGGATAATTCGAGTTTAGTGCGCATCAATTAAAATTATTATAGTTTATCTTCAATTGTTTTGAGGAAATTAAATATAATTACAATTTGCCAGACCCATTGAAGCCTCGTGATCGGGTAACATTTTTGAAAACAAATGTTGAATTAAATGTCCATTTTTTTAAATTCGTTAGTATTTATTGATGGATAATTTAACATGCTTAAGCGGTATTTTCAAGGATGGAAATCATTAAAATGTTAAATGATAATTTAACATGCTTAAAAGAGACTTAAATAATTTTTTTAAGGATGGGGGAATCATTCAAAGGTTATCTGAAAAATTAAGAACTATAACATAGTTTAACTACCTATTTTATTAATATTCATTGGAGGTGACTACAGTCTATGTTTGATCAGTCTGATCAAAACATATTCATCGCATTTTAGTCATCGTTTCTTTCTTATCTACTCTATAAATGGGTTAGATCTGCCGTTGTCCAGTTTGGGTTCCGATTAAATTCTGACCAGTGGCAGCTGTCGATAGGTTCTGTTGCACTCTGGGATCGACGCTTATCCTTTTTACCATCCTTCTTCTTCCCTTTTCTTAGCCCGCTTTGATCATCGCATTAGTTGTATTTTATATAATTGATTAATTAGAGGCCGGCTTCTGGTCCCACGAGATCGTGTTGGCAAAGAGGGAACCTTCTGTTCCATTCGGGACTATCGGTAGAATTATAATTGGGCTGCGGCCGGGTTCGAGCCATATAGGAGATATACGATATATGGAAGTGTTGTCCCTAATGCTAATATCCTGTGCGCTATTGTATTGTTGCTTGTCGGCAATTTGTTTGTTCTTCGGCTGCCCAAATTGATTTTATTGACTTGTAAATGATGTTGAGTGCCCGCTGCAGTTCCCCCTTCACCATCTCCTTCCCGTTTTATCTTTGTTGACTGGCTTCCGTATGGCGGATACGCCCCTTTCGGTTCGTTAATCTAGGATTGCCTGCCTGGTGGCTGCCTCCTTTGGCCTTATGCGCCTCCTGCCAATCGATGGCCAGTTTGCATATTTAATTTATTGATTTCACGCGGCCTCTGGAGGAGTGCTCTACCCTTTTCGCCCCGTTGCGCTTCTTTGTGGCGC